TTCAGTGATCACAAGAGTTTGAAGTACTTATTTGATCATAAGGAGCTGAACATGAGGCAGAGGCGGTGGATGGAGTTTCTGAAGGATTATGATTTCCAGTTGATGTATCATCCTGGTAAGGCCAATGTTGTGGCGGATGCGCTGAGTAGGAAATCCATCCACATGTCTAGTATGATGGTGAAAGAGTTAGAGTTGGTTGAGGAGTTCAGAGATTTGAACCTCTGTGAGGAGTTAGCTCAGGATCACATTAGTTGTGGGATGATTACCAGTGAGTTCTTAAGGCAGGTTGGACAGAAGCAGTTGCAAGATGTTGAGTTAGTGAAACTTCTTGGGTTGCTGGGTACCGAAAAGGCTGTTGGTTTTGAGATGGGCGGAGATGGAATCTTGAGGTACAAGGGAAGGATTTGCCTACCTCATGATGCTGAGATGAAGAAAGCTGTGTTGGAGGATTTGCTGAGGGCTTGTGTATTAGACCACTTGGGAAGCTGGGAGGAGGTCCTACCGCTGGTTGAGTTCACGTATAATAATAGATTTCATGCTAGTATTGGGTTGGGGCCGTTTGAAGCCTTATATGACAGAAGATGTAGGACTCCTCTGTGCTGGTATCAAGATGGTGAGTCAGTAGTTGTGGGACCGGAGCTAATCCTACAGACTACTAAGGAGGTGAAGCTGATTCAGGAGAGGATGAAGACTACTTAGAGTAGGCAAAAATCGTATGCTGATAAAAGGCGAAAGCCTTTGGAGTTTGCTGAAGGGGAACATGTGTTTCTGAAGGTGACCCCGACTTCTGGTGTGGGTAGAGTGCTGAAGGCACGAAAGTTGACTCCGAGGTTTGTTGGTCCCTATTAGATAATACAACGTGTGGGTCCGATTGCTTATCGGTTGGCCTTGCCACCGTCCCTCTCAAACCTACACAATGTATTTCATGTATCCCAGCTGAGGAAGTATGTTCATGACCCTAGTCATGTGGTGGAGCTCGATGATGTACGGGTGAAGGAGAATGTAACGTTTGAGAAGTTGTCAGTCGCTGTGGTTGATCATAATCTGAAGGAGCTGAGGGGAAAGTCCATTGCTCTGGTAAAGGTGTTGTGGGATGCAACTACTGCTGAGGCTACTTGGGAAGTGGAGCAGCAGTGCAAGCAGCGATATCTGTTTCTTTTCCCAAGTAAGTCTGTTTTCGGGGACGAAAACTCCTGTTGTTGGGGAGGTTGTGAGACCCCTATTTCCATTTCCTTTTTCTCTCCCTCTCGACCATCTCTCTTTCACTCTTTCATTCTCACTCACTTGACTGATACACTCTTTGAACCTTGTGTTTCCTTCTCACTTTTCTTGGATCATTTCCTTTACTTGGTGGCTGTAGGTGAGGTGTAGGGTGGTGTGAAGCTAGCTGGAAACCGGAAATCCCTTTCTCTTCTCCGTTGAGCTCTTTCTCTTCTTCCCCGCTGTCTCGAAGCTCGGATTTTCGCACTGAAGTAAGGAAAGCTAGTTCTTTGGCTGATTTTGTTAGAAATGAGTTCATAAACTCATGGAGTGGCCAATTTTCTGATGATTGATGGGCTGTTTTGATGAAAACGGGTTTTCGGGGTTTCCGGGGTTTTGATGAAAATTTGGGGATTTTCCTTGTTTGATGTTGCATGTGTAAAAAGGCATGATTTTTAAGTTGTTGGTTGAAAATGTGACACTTTGCTGGGTTTGCATGTGTTTGGGATGTTGATTTTTGCAGGTTTTGAGTGAAATTTTCGAAGTGGTGAGGGTTACTGTTTGAAATTGCGCCGGGCGTAGTTCTTCGTGCCGGGACGTGATTTGAAATAGGAAATCTCTGGGTGAATCACGCCGGGCGTGGGGAGAACCACGCCGGGCACACTATCAGACGTGAATCTTATGTTTATGTTACTGATATTGCGCCGGGCTCAGGATAATTGCGTCGGGCACAAAACACCTCTGTAGGTCTCTGGTTGAGATTTGCGCCGAGCGTGATTTTAATGCGCCGGGCTTGCGTTTTTCTTTCACAATTTGACTTTATAGTCTTCACGAAAGTTGTAGCCTTGAATGTTAGCTTTCCAATGGCGCTGGAATCACCCAAAAAGGAGTTCTATAATTCTAGATATGGCTGTTTTAGTGAAGAGGAGTCAAGCTGCCAGCATTGCTTATAGCTGTTGCGGTTTTTATCATTTTTAACAAGGTAGATGAAGGAATTAAGACTTGTTTTCTTCATTAGATTTGTAGGAAATCTTCATATCTTTCATATGAGATAAGGATGAGTATGGTAGAAGTAGTATAACTCCTGATACTCTGTTTTATGTGAAGGTTGCCATTTCACAGTTAGTGATTTGGTTAAGTTGAAAGTTGTTTTAGGGGCTTAGGTTGATTGGTGTTGTTTGGGTGGGTAATTTGGCAAGATAGATGAGTTGTAAACAAGATGGATAAGCCGTATTATGTGTTGAATATGTTGTATGTTGTATGTTGTAAAGTTGTTGATCATGTTGTTGATAATGTTGTTTATGTTGATTAATGTTGTTAATGTCGTATGATGAAAAGCTGAGCTGTGTTGTATGTTGTTTGAGTTGTTATTCCTGTTAAGCTGAGCTGTGCCGCATTGTTGTTTATGCTGATTAAGCTGTTAATGATGAATGTTGTTGAGCTGAGTGATGATTTTGATGTGCTGTGAGATGTTTATGTTGCATTATTGATGTTAAGCTGTATTTGATGTATATTGTTATGCTGTAAGTTGTTTAGCTGTGTTGGATGCTGATATTGCTGTGCTGTGCTGAGCTGTATGCCGTTATTGCCACTAATGTGGTGATGTTATAGCCACTAATGTGGTGCTGTTATAGCCACTAATGTGGTGCTGTTATAGCTGCTAAGTCAGTGCTGTTATAACCGCTAAGTCGGTGCTGTTATAGCTGCTAAGTCGGTGTTGTTATTGCTGCTATGCAGTGCTGTGCTCCATGCTGATAGGAGCTGTTGTAGGCCGTAAGGCTGAACTGTTGATCACTAAGACTAGAGGAGTTGTTTTCGAAATTTACCTCATCCCATTGTGTGGAGGCAGCGGCTGTGGTGCTCTTCGAGGCCAATTTGTTAAAAACCCTCCCTGGAAAGCTGACCCTTGGAGTGGTAACTTGCTATTCTCCTCTAGGTTCTTAGTGGTCCTGTGTGTGGGCAACGTCGAGGCACACATGTACAAAGCGACCACGGTATAGGGGACAGGTCGAGTTATACTGCTTACAAGCGACCAATACTAACTTACATGCGTGACGACGCATTGTGTGTTTACTATTGTTATTGCTGAATGATGTGAGATGTGTGTTGTTATATACATATTAAGCTGATGTTAAGTTGATTGATGTGCTGATTGATGTGCTGATTGATGTGCTGATAGCTGTAGCTGTTTACTATTCATATATTTATATATGTATGTTGTTTCTTTTCATTAGCTTACCCTTTGTTGTTTCCATGTGGTTTGGACTGCGATAATCATACTATGTATGGGAGCAGAGCAGGGTTAGGTTGGTGTGCTGAGGAGAGTCTGCAGCTGGCAGATGGCGTTTGTTTTTGTTGTTGTATTTAGCTACTTAGTGTAGCATTGCTGGATGTATTTTGTACACTCTGACTCTAGCCAGATTTGGACCTTGTATATATATATATATATTCTAGACACTATATGTATATACTTGTTCGTTTCTGTGTGGTGTTCTGGTATATTGTACTGTGTGTAGTGACTAGTTAGGTCGTTACACAAATTAATTAAAATTTGTTATTTTATTTTAATATTATAATTATAATCTTAATATTATTTTATAAATTATAATTTTATTAGCAACACAACTGTGCAACACTATATTGCACTAATACTCTAACAATACTATAGTAGTTATTTTATAATATTATTATTTTATTAATTATCTAATACTCACTTAATTTTAAATGCTGGAATATACTAATTTTTAATATTTGATTGTGTTGAACTATTTTAATTTTCTATTTTTTTAAATTAGTTTTTTATTTGTGCTTGAACATATTTACACTAATTTAATAATAGATTTTTTTAAAAATTTTGGAGAAGAATTAATGTATTTTTATGTTTTAAAAAATAAAATATTTCTTTTTTTTTTTCAAGAAAATCAATTAATCTAAACCAAATTAATTTTTTGTTGATTGATTTGATTCAAGTCGCTAAATTTATTTTAGTAACTCTGATCTAAACTAAATCCATCAAAATTAATTGATTCAAATTTTAATTTATTTCAAATTTAAACCAAACCTGTTCATAATAAAAACTCATGCATATATTATCAATCCTCTAATGCATTCGTAACTCAATCATATGCTCGTACCATTTAGGCTTTCCCTTCTTACGTCTATGAAAACGTAATATAATTTTAGATGATTGATATTGTTGTACAAGTAACCAAGAGTTATTAGCCTATGTTGAATTTATTTCTCTAATATTTCTATTTCATGATGTTTTGTGTATTTTATCATTTGACTTAAGGGTATTAAATGATATTAACATGTGACATTAGAAGAATTATCCTAATACAGTAAGGGTACTCTACCAAATCATAAATTAATGAAAAAGAAAAAATAATATACTATATATAAACAAATTTAACTTCGCAACCAAATAAATTTATTAAAATAATAAAAAAATACTCCTTTAAGTTTAGTATGGTCGTAAATTATAAATTATGATTAAAAAAAAGGCATTACTGCAGGTTAGGAAAACTAAAGAAAAAATTATACATAAGATATTAGCATTTGGCAATGCATAATTGAAGTACCTTTTGTTTTACAAATATAAATAGATTTCTTATCACAACATGAGAAATGAAAATAAATATTATGTAGTCTCAAGATTGAACATTAAAAAAAAATTAAAGGTTGATTTTTGAATGAGACTCACATTTTTCCAATCCACTAATATTCTCTTTCTTCGTTTTTAACTTATGTGAAAAGACGTTTGATGCCTTACACATACAGCAACCCTTTACAGGCCACCATTCAAAAGGAGTTAAATCTCTTTAAAACCAAAAAATTATAGCAATCCAAACACCTACTTAGTCACCAAAAGCATGTTTGTAATAAAATAAACCATTACAGCAACCATGGTTGTACAGATCCAACCCTGGAAAGAAAACCTCGACTAAAATCTCGAGATTTTTTTTTTACTAATTCCTATCGTAATGCACTTTTATGTCACATAAGTGTGGTTACAGCATTCCAAGAGTTCAACGAATATCATATTGTATGAAAGGTTTATCCAACTAGAGCACAGTTTTAATCACAGGGGAAGTTTATCCAATGGTTTCACTGCCGCAACCCTACTGAGTTCCTGTCTAGAGTACTTTTCGTATGCAACCTTCAACTTTCCATTCCCAGAAGCTTTGTGGAACTTCAATATCATATCCGCACAATCCCTACAAATATTACAGTTAGTATAAATAGAAAGCATCAAAAATTTTAAAAATGAAAAGCTTTTATGAACTTATGCCAATTTTTGCTTTTAGTTCCTAAACAATTTTTTTTTACTAATTTTAGTGCATGATCTTTTATCGATTTTCACTTTTAATTCTTGAATTTTTTCTCTTGTTAACATTTTAGTTCTTAGCTTCAAAAGAAAATTTAATGTAAAAATACTTCAGACTAAAAACAAAAATTCAAAGACTAAACGTATTTAATTCTTTGAAAAAAGAAAAAGAAAAGGATAGAAAAAGTACCTGAGTTGTGAAACTTCATAACGCGCATGCTTATGAAGTAGTGGGGTCCATGGTGGAGTCATTTGCAATGTACAACGTGCAACATAGAGAGCTGATGCACAAAGTAATGAAGGCTTGAATGCTAAAGCTTCATACTCAACTAAGCATAGGTCAATCAAAAAGAATGCCATGTGTTCAAGCTGAAAATGAAATGCAAACAAAATGTTAGAAATCAAATTTAATGTCCTACATAGAACATTCAATAAAAATATGCATGCTAAATTATGTCTATAAGCATCATCAATTGGATATATGCTAAATTTGGACATTCAACGGTCTGCAAGATAGTGTGAACTATGTAGTAGAAACATGCATACTGAATTATGTACCTTTTTATCTGATTGTGCAGCCTTGAGAAACCTCACCATAAAAACATAAGGAGTAGGAGTATTAAGACGGAACTTTAATTTTCTAAGCATAAGCTTTTCCTGTACGAGAACCATACAACACAATAGGACATAACTGTAAGAAATTGAATATCAGCAAAATTTTAGAATTTAGCAATTGGACCCATTTACATAATTTCAACAAAAAATTGTCTGATTGATAACTTCACAATTTGTATATTTTATGAATTTGCCAAGTCATTCATTATGTTACATCACTATGTTATGAAATGTTCAAGATCACTCCTAAACCAGAGGATTGAAAGGAAGTATCATAAAAATACATAATAAGCACTGCATACCATTCCAAGCATTTGATCTCTAGTATATGACTCAGCTGAGATGCTAATTAAATCTTTGACCTACAAAATATAAGACAATAAAAAAGCATTATGATCAAGATAAAGCATGCCACATTTTCTTCAAAAGTAAATGCTTACAAATGACTTCTTACCCTAGGATGCCAAAAATCCTCGTACTTTGAAGCCAGCAAAAGTGCTGTAAGACCAACTAACTGCATAACAGTCTTTTTGATAGTCACTTGGGAAAGATATTGATCCAACAAAGTAACAGTGAGATACAGTGTTTCTGGCATCAAATCAAATTTGAAGTGTACCTAGAATAGCCAACAATGATAGGCAAAGAAAACGACCATGATAAGTCATCAGTAGAATAATAGATAAAGGAAAGGAAAGGACATGATGAAAGAAAAGCCATCGGAATGATGATGGAAAACTTTTATTTACTTCAATCAACCAGTTGATCAAAATGCCCCGCAAATGAGGTGTAATGTCTGTCTGAATTGACATGTAATTTGCTAGAACCGGATTATGTGCCTGCAGTTGAAAGCAATTTTAAAATACTATAGACAAAAATATTATTAGTTGATATTAGAGAATAAAGATAAAATGTAATATAAACTTTGGAGAGATGGATATCCTTTGAAAGCTCACAAATATAAAATGTTTGTGGTAAAAAAAAAAAAATTACTAATCCTATAACCGGTGGACGTATTAAAGTCAACAGTGAAATGGGAGGGGAATAGAAAGAAAGAGCCAAGCATGTTCTTAAAAAAAGAAATTACTCAACTAGAAACAGAAAAAAAAAAAAATATATATATATATATATATATAGTACTGTACATCTCTGTTAAAACAGTAACAAAGAGATAAGCATAAAAAAGAGCTGGCATCACAGGCATGATGAATATTACCTCAGTAACCCAGTAGTACTGGTATATCTCATCAATGTATTCAGAAACTTCAAGTTGATTGCGTTCATTATCTATATTTGGTAGGTTATTCAGCTCTCTAACTTCACCACTTTCCTTGGGACCACTTTCCTTGAGAAACTGCAAAATAAGGCTGATTGTCATTTAAATTTATTGAAACTAAAAAAGAAGTGTGGTTTCATAGATTGAGCATCAACCTTAGATCCTTCAATTAATGAAGTAGTATAGGATTTCCGTCGTCTGGATTTGTTCTTTGGAATAATGTCTGACGTATCTGTTCTCAAATTGCTTTCTCCAGATGGAAGATGACTTTGATTACTTTGGTTTGCATCATCAGAAACTATCGTTGAACCATTCTCAGTAAGAGACAAAGGAACTGTTTCCTTGTTCTGAGATGATGTTGAAGCAGTTGATTCTAATTTGTTCTGAGCAGATATGGGTTTAGATTTTAACGTCCTTTGAGCAGTGGAAGCCTTAAGTGTGATCTTAACAATTGGCTGTCATGAACAAGGTCAAAAATCAAATTCACACTTTATACACCACATCTTCAATAAGAAAATTTATCTCAAAGTTGAGATAAAGACTCAAAATGTGGTGGAAATTATTGACTGAGCAATTCCTTATGTCCTCATGTCACCAAATGAACCGACAAAATATTTAGATCATGACATCAGTGCATATCAATCATAATATATATATACATAAACACACAGTTCACCCGTATTACTTATACAAGCATCATTGATATGAAATTCCAAAGTACTGCTGCACCTATCAATCAAATAAAGCAACTACAGACAACATACCTTGGTGGACTTCCTTGAGGATGCATGTAAAACATTAGATTGAACCCTGCATCACAGGTGAATTGCATGAAAACAAAAAATTAATAATAACTAGAAATCTCATTCTCTAAATTATCATTTGATAATTAAAATCTTTAATCAAGGAGAATTAGTTTTTACTGATGAGCATAAACAGTCACTTAGCTATAATAAAAAATAATGATTTCCTATTTCATAGATTCTATAGATATAAAAGCATCCATCTGTCTTTTTGTGGTATAAGTTCTGACACTCTTGTCTATAGTTTAAATAAATAAAAAATCAAATCTCAGAACATAGTAGGGTGAGCATGTGCATTGATGCTTCAAGCCCAGGGGTAATTGCATGAGGGAACGTGTTAAAACCATTAAACGGAGGTGTAGAAAAAATTATAATTTTGGGGGGACAGGTTAGAGACACATTTTATTTAATAGAGAACACACAAAATCAAAAATGAAAGAAAATGAGATCTGGAAGAAAATCAGGGACCTAAAGAATGTCCTGATGCCTATTTCGACAAGAAGCTGTAACAAGTCCAAAATTCATGGGGAATAATGTTGGACTATGATAATTCTATTGTCCATGTGGAACTATATTAAAACTATGCTCTTATATTGGACTTTGCTTCATGGAATTAGCAAAGACATTCACCACAGATCAATTAGTGTAAGAAATATGGTAATATAGTGATGTAAAATTCTGCACAACAAAGTCAAATTCTAAAAACTTTCAATTTAAAATCTAGAATTTAAATTGATATCATACTGTGGAAGCATAATAGTAATCTAAAACATCAACAGCGTCATGGATTATTGATTACTTTAAGGATGTCTTTGGATGGAGTTTTTAGAAATTCAATAAATTTGAAATTCATAGAATTTAAACTACTTTGATTTCAATTTTTATCATTCATTAAATATTTTCTTTGAATAAATCAATTCAAATTTATCAAATTTTAAATATATATCAAAATTTTATAACTAAACTTTATAAAATAAACAGTATCCAATTTTTAAATATTTAATAGATTTTAAAAAAAAATATTAGACAATATTTAATAATTTTAAAAAATGAATATTCAATAATTAAAAAACTATTGATATTTTTTTATGTCGACATTGAAAGGAAGGAGAGGAAAGTAGGAGAAAGAAGATGAGAGAAGACAATGAGAGAGAGACAGATAGAGAGAAAGGAGAGAGGAAAATAGCAGATAGGAGAGATAAAAAAAAATATATAAGTGAAATAAGAAAAAAAAAATACAAGAAATTTTAAGTTCTTACTTTTTTGGAAAAATTTGAATTTATACAATTTTAAAGAATTACAAAAATGCCAGAATTTTAAATTCCTTATAAATATAAATTCTTAATCCAAAAAATGCATTAGGGCAAAATCATAAATATCACTTCCTTCAAGTGCCTCCTATCTGGCCCATCACCTCATAATTGTATAGGCTAACTTGCTAGATTCCCCAGTTTTGCAACTTGAAGACCAATCAAACAGTTAAAATGTACCAGAAGTGCACAATTTACAAAAAGGAAGCAAGAACTGGCTAATGATATGATTAATTATCAGTTATCACTTACATTTGAACAAAACCGTCACTAACTCGATTCTTCCATAGATAGCTTCTTGCGTTGATTAGTTGGGAACTATCTCTTCTTTTTGCTGTTGCCTTAGCTGAAATCAATAGTATATTAAGTTAAATTAACATAGCATAGGTTAATTCATTAACATTAGCAAAGTGCTTATCTATGTCTTAGCTACTTACTGGGGAGATCACTTTGGCCTTTTGCTGTTTGAGAACTTCTTACATTTTCCTAAAAGGAAGCAAAGTGAAAGTATAAGAAAAGGAAAATAATTTAAAGAAAATTTATTATCAAAATCAAAATAAAATATATATGGCAATCTGAATAAGCACAACTACATGAAGGGGAGAATACTTTATAGCCACTGTTCGCCACCAGAAAAGACAAACAGTAACAAGACTATATTACCTTTGTGTTACTTGTATCTTCCCTGCTTACCCTCCTTGGTACTGGTAAAGACTTCCTGGAAGTGTTTGGAAGAGACAAATGAATATTCTGGATTCAGTTCACATTTTATTCATATAACTCACCTGAATCAACGAAATGAAATTAAAAAAAAAACCTTGTAGTTGTAGGAAATATAGGCTTCCTCGTAAACCTGCAAAATTAAAGAAGAAAAAAAGCAATATAATTTCTGTAGTGGAGTGCTCGCAATCATAAAAATCAACCATTAATAACTTCAATACCATAATCCCTAAATCATAAACATCAACAATTAATAACTTCAATACCCCTATTAAATGTGAGATAAACAAGAGACAGGATCCCAAGTACCTGTCCTTTGTGGCAACAACTGATTGGCCTCCATTTGTATTATTCTTCTGATGATTATCTAAAGGGAGAAAAACATCTAAATGATATTCCAAACATATAAATCACAAAAAAAGAATATATTTTAGAGGAAACTAGTTACCTCTATTGCCTTTATTGAGAGCATCTAACTGAACATCAACTTTACTTGTATTTCTTTGAACTCTTCCCTAAGTTGAACAAGAAAAGTGATCAGTGCTTCATAATAGTATAGACCCAAGGAAGTTTAAATAGTTGATATTTTACATATGCTTTTCCCTTTTTTATCATCATCATCTCAACAAGAAAAGCAAGGTTAAGAATGGTAGGAAATGATTTAAGAGCCCTCTTGTTTAATCGAAAAAAGTGATTCTATGATACATCTTTTTTTTAAGTGCTTTTGAAAAGAAAGAAAAAACAACTTTTTTTCAAAGAAAATACACATAATTGTATATTTTTAAAACATATCTTCTCAAACAAACTAAAACAGGGAAATTAGAAGTGTGAAATTAGTGGTCGATATATGCCTTGGGTGCCACTAAATCAAGCTGCTATAAAACAGCCTTCAAAAGCTTTTGTTGTACATTTGATTACTATTATTTGCTTGAGCACCAATTGCTAGGTCCACACGTGGTACATTTATGTTGGAAAAAAGTTTTCTAGTCTATTCTTCAGATTTAAATCAAAGCAGATATGCCATTAGTTTCAAACCACATACTCTAGGCACTCTTGTTCTTTTCCAGCAAATGGAGAAAGCATTGAATTTTGTATATTCATTATAAACCTACAACTAAATTAAACTGCTATGCAAAGATATGTCTGCTTGCTCTTAAAGAAGGCTAAGGCCAAGGGGACATAGAGAAAAAATCCATAAATAGATGATCAGCATATATATACATATAAATGATTTACTTGGAGAACCATGCCCATCAAGAATAATTTTGTAGCACTTACTTTCACTCTATTTTTTTTATTCTGTTTTTATACATGTCAAATCGTAGATTATATAGCCAAAATTCCATTCATTGAGTCATTTCATTTGGGGGTATCGAGAACATTAACTAATACTAATAAAAGGAGTATTCATTTAGACAAATAACTGATTACGTTCAAAAAAACACATGGGCTTAACAAAAAAATTGGAATAGCTGTGAGTTAGTTAACTGGTTTACATACCGTGAAGGATTTCCTCAAAGATACGCCCACTATTTTGGTGCTTGAACCTGCTGAAACCCTAGAAAGGCACACACATATAAAATCAAATAATGAAGCAAGCATTAGAAAAAATGAAGACAGAATTAATATGCTACCTTATATTCAAACATTTGTAAAGAACATTATATCAATCTTTGCTAAAGTTAAAGTATCATAACAAGACCAATTTTTATTACATGAAGCATCTAGAGATAGAATTTTATTTTATGTCAAAAGTCCATGAAGCAACAAAATAGAAAGTTGTTTAAATATGAAACCATCCATGTATTTTCATCCTAGAGCTTAAGCATCTGGTAGAGTTGGTTCATGTGTAGTATCAACATCTCTATGACCATGTACTCTAGTGTTTAGGGTTCAATGTTGGTTTCACCTATCAACTTAAATTTCGACATTTTGTTTGATAAAGGATTAAGATATGAAGGACAAAATGAGGGAATAAACATTAACCCCTACGTATGCTAATACTAGACTCCTAATCCTAATTAAATTAGAATACAGATTATGAAATGTAATGAAATACGAAAATCACTCCCCTAAGGGATCATTTAATAAGCTAAAAAATATTTTAATGTACAATAATTATGTTACAAGATAATTGTTGGCCCCTCGTGCCAAAGCTAACTAAGCTTTAAGCCTGTTAGCCGTTACATTTAACAAACAAACGAAAATAATATGTCAAAATGGAGCTAAACAGGGTTAGGCAACTAAATCCGAGACAGAAACAAGACAGAAACAGGATGAGGCCAGACATTGTCTAGGACTAATAACAAGATTAATAGAAGAACATATAGATCTAGCCACTAAATTCAAAAAATCTGTAGTCCAATGAAGCCAGAGACAACTAGGGTTAATATGCTCTCAGCATGCACGAGAAAGGATGACTCTTAATGTGATATGATATGACATGAAATACCTTTATGAACCCCTGTTTATACTAGCATCTTAATCATAATTAAATAAGAAAAAAATCATGAAATATGAAATTGAAAAACCATAACCACTATCTAAAGAGATGTTTAATTCACTCAATATTATGAGAAAATCTCTGGATATTCTAACAAAATAAGAGGTGAAAATGTTTAGTTTGCCACTACATATTATCGCAAAAATCTTTCAGAATATTCCAACAAGACAGAATATTTCACAAAAAAAGTGCTGCTAATAGTTAGTCTACTGAGTACTGATATGTGAGGAAAAGAATATGAAATTATTTTCTGAACAGTAAAGATAGCAAGTTGAGTTCCGAAAATAACTTGCAAATATTTTATTAAAACAGTGAAATACTACCACCTCTCTTCTAACTTTCTTTCTATCCAGCATAGAGAAGATTCTTACTTCTTTATGGAGCCCACATGCCCAACAGCTGTAGTGAAGTTTTTTTGAACATTGCTAACATCAACCAATGCCTTTCTCACATTTGCATTTGTTACTAAAAGCAAAAGTATATGAAAGTGAGAAGTACGTTTTATCCATATAAAAGCTACATAATTGTCAAAATTATAACAAGAAATGAGTTCAGTTAAAACTTACCAGAAGTGCCACCTTTGTCACTACTTTTATTCATACTTTTTTTGAGACCACCCTTCACCATTAAAGTTGAATAATAATTATAATTATGGAATGTAAGCAAGGTCAGGCTAAAGAATACAGAATATATAGATAGACATTTTCGAAGTATTCCTACCATGGTAGAAAAAAGTACTAGAAAATACCTTTAGATTACTGGTGCTATTAAGAATGACCCCTTTGTTAGCTACCACAGTATTTCTTCTGCATAAATTGCAAAGGAAGAGAGAGAATATATAGATATCACTATAGTGCTCCAGAAATATATGGAATATCTGCAGGAAATGAATATCATTCTGCTATATACTGTCATGATTTCACAAAAACAATTGTTTCAGACAATGACGTCAAAAAAAAATTAAATAAATAAGAAAAGGTAGCAGTTTTGGACTTCTCATGCATAGTATAAAAGATAACCTGGGAGTCCATTTAATTTGAATCACAAAAGTTTTAAAAACAAGTTTAATTTTCACAGCCCACAAACTAAAATTCCTTCCACTGCTGCAACACAATTACAGGACTTCCTTATTTATTAAATATCTCAAAAAAAAACAAAAAAACAATTAACCAAAATCATCATCTTGACATCATTAAATTTCTACTCTTTCCACAATTTCAGCATCTAACAACAACTTGAGGAGAAATCACATCATTTGAAGTTAACAAAGGCACCATACCTTGAAGTTGCACCTGCTCCTCTTGCAGATGTCCTAAAGAAACAATTGATTTTAGTTGTTTAGTTCTACAAAATTTCATATCATGTTGGGATACATTTTCAATAACACAAACAAGTTATACTCACATATTCACATCACCAACTTTAGTCCGGTCAATTTCCGAAAACACTTTGAAATTCCTACCGCCCACTGTTCAATACAAACTTCAAATCACCCAAAAATATAAAATAATAAAGTAATAATAATTATTATTATATATTCATCAAAAGATAAACAGTCTGATAAATAACTCTTCAAATTCAAAAAAAAAAAACATTAAAACACATATAAATGTGAAAAATATACCAGTTGGGCGAGATTGAGTCCCACCAACAGAGGCTCGAGTTGAACCCACTCTAGATTTTCCCTGAAACAGGCAAGAACCTAACAAGAATCAAACTAAGCGTTTTCCGATGTAGGGTTTGAGAACAATTCAAAGGTTAAAACCTGGCTGAGAATCATAATAGGGATTGTGCGAAATTTGAAAGGTAAAAATTGAAATAATGAAAATTGGAGTTAAACCCTACCGTGAGAGAAACCATTGAGGTATTGGTTTGGATTCGGTTAAGGGCTTCGAGTTTCGACGCAGAAACTAAGAGAAAAGAGAGATTCAGTGTAATTTGTAGTGTACCGTTGCGACCGAGTGAAAATTGAATGGGAAGAGGATCGCGCGGTGCCTTTAGATTTTGAATCCAGGTGCTTTTACGTTGATACCCCTCTGCATTGCCAAGCGAATGAGAAAAAATGAAACATAATTTTTGTCTGAATAAATATTTTTTATGTTAATTTTCTGAAATCTCTCTCTATTATCTACTAGCAGAGAGCAGAGAGAAGAGTGCCTCTTAATTATTTTAAAAAAATAAAATTAAAATAGAAAAGAAAATGAAATAGGTTGTGAGTGATTATTAAAGAAGAGTCATGCTACAGCCTCTAAAATGATTGTCCGAAATATCGTTCAAAACTTTAAAATATTAATATTTTTTAATAAATTTATTATAAAATAATTATTTAATTTAATATTTTATCATTTAAATTATTATTTTAATGATTGGAATGAATTCGGCACACACTTTCAGAGTTTAATCATTTTCCTAAAATGGGAGAAGGCTTTTGATTTGGTGGAGTTTTTAAAAAAATAAAAATAAAATAAAAGAAGAAATGATGAAGTGTGTAATCATTGAAAAAGTATGAGAAGGTTACTAATCATGTGAAAAAAGACATTAGAAAATATTAATTTTATATTTTTTTCTAAGCATTTGAAGGGTTTAATGAAAGGAATATCTTGTTTATACATTGGTATAGATAATTTATATATTTTTTTATAACATTAATAAAAGGGGTATCTTGTTTTGTTCCAAATTTTTTTTGACCATTTTACTTTTTAACTAATTTGTTTAATTACCTTTATACATCTTAACTAATTTGCATAATTATCTCACTATTATGAACTTATATGCTATTTTTTAATTTTATTATTTTTGTTTTATTTTTCATTTTTATATGACAAGGCACAAAATATTTCATTTTCACTAGTTATTATTATATTTATATGAAAATATGTAGAATGTAAATAACTATATAGTATTATTTTTATTTGATAAATGATTATTTAATTTTTTTTATTGATGCTGATTATTTATAGGCCTGAATATATTTTACAAAAATAGTGGAGTTTGCTAACATTAAAACTTATATCATGAACGATTTAAGACCATCTTTTGATCTCACATAATTTTTCTAAACATTTCTAAAATTTATGATCTAGAATATCATGCATCTTGATTAAGTATGGAAGTTGTTTTGTCGAAAGGTGGAAACATTATTGCTTCTTTGAAAATAATTCCTTATGGTGCTACTATTAACTACCCCACCTATAACAAAAAATTTCACATTTTTTTTCTAAGCCTTCCAATATTGGGAACATTGCATTGCTCCTAAGAAGTGTTAAGTGAGACGAAGCAATTCCCAGGAAAGTTTTGAATGAGACAAATATAATACATATTGTTGTTTTTAACATGTGTGAAGTCCATAAAAGATAAAGGAAGGAAAGCTTTAAGCATCACACGAAAAAGGTCAAACGAAGCCAAGTCTAGCACAAGAAGGAAAATGATCAAGCTTCAGACGAAGTGCATTCAAGAACGAGAAGAAGTCCATACAGACCACAAGCGAAACTTCTTTAAGTACTAGACGAAGATTAGTCAAGGCAAAGTACATCACGAGGATCAGACAAAGCAGAGTCAAATACAAGATGAAATACGACATGAGCACCAGACGATGTTGGATCAAATATCAGACGTAGGTGTGTCAAGCATAACATAAAGCGCAACATAAGGATTCAGACGAAGGTTGGTCAAGAATCAAACGAAAGTCAACTACATATCAGACGAAGGACAGCACAGATTGAAAAGTATTCCAGACGGAAATAAAGTTTGTCCTTCTATAATATTGACCAGATCAAAGAAAGTCAAAGCATTGGTGACAAATGCTCAAACGAAGATCAAGTCTTGAGATGCACATGGACTACCAGATGCAAATGAAGACTGTCATGCAAGCATTTGAAGAATCAAGTCTTAAGGGACAATTCAGGCATCGTCTACAATCATACAAAGAGCTCTCAATATGATCGCGTGCTGGAAGGAGAAGAAGAAGAAGAAGAAATGCAAGCCCAAAAGTCAAAGCATGCGTGTGTCAGAAAAAGTACATCACTTTTTCAGATAAAGACAGCTACAATGACCGAAAAATGACAAGAAACTCCTAGGTCACAGTTAAAGTCAGACACTACAGCTAACAAAAACTTAGAAGACTTCACACAATGTCTATAAATAGGAAGCAACATTTAATGCAAAATCAAGTGGATTAAATGAGAAATCGAACTAGTCATGAATGACTACATTCTACTTCAACGGACACTTGCAACGGACAGATTTTATAGAGGCTATAAATATGTCATCACTCCAAACTTGGAATGGTTGGTGAAGAGTGATTCCAAGCCCAAAAAGCAACGAAACCAGAGATAGAGCATACATAGTCAAATGTACAATATTGTATTTATCTCTAAAGACTAAGGAGTTCTAAGTGTAACTTAGGAGCATAAACCTTAGTGAGTGTAGTAAATCTTTGTATCCTCTCTATGAGAGTAAACCACACACTTAGAACAAATTATCTATCATTTGTAAAGCCTGAAGAGG